GGTCTCTTCCAACTCTATGATTCTATGATTCTATGATTCTACCTTCATCTTCAGGAATACCCAACTTTCTGAACAGCTCATATGATCTAAGGCAGAGACTTTTATGGTTCTCAGCCTAATTCCAAAAGACATTAGTGCAGGAACTGTGTGTTATTGTGTGTGCTCCTACTGACATGTTTTGACAATTTCAATGCCTAAAACATCCTCAGACCTAAAAGTAAAAGTACTTCCTAATGTAGGAATGGCCAACTGCATGAGGAACAGGGGACAATTCCTCACCCCAGAGGAATATGTCATTCACAATTGATGTAGAAAACAAGCTCACATAATTCAGTTTTCCTCTGCACTCCCTCTCAAAATGGTGACAGAAAGTGACATCACATCACTTCCTATCAGCATTTTGAGAGGAACTGCAGAGGAAAATAAAGTTATTTGTTGATACTACAGGATTCTAGGGTGCTTGTGGGGGTGGCGATATTTTCATGTGTTTTCACACATGGGGAGATTTCTGTGTGGTTCAGAATCAAAAATTTCCCCAAACTCACACTGATAATTTTTTTCAAAAATGTTTGGGAGAGTTGGGGGGCTGGACGGACTTCAAGGTTCACATAAATGGGGTCTAGGGTGTGTGGCCCATAGACCACACTTTGCCAACCTCTGCCCTAAGGTTTTAGGCCTCATACAAGCGGAAGACTTTAATTTACGGGATTTGTCCCGTTCCGCCTTGTCTGATAACTAAATTCGAATTTAAAAGGGGGTTAATTTGAACAAAAACCTGATCTTTTCTTTTTCGGGATTTTTGAGGATTTGAAAAGATCAGGGTTTTATTCGAATTAACCCCCTTTTGAATTCGAATTTAGTTATCAGACGAGGCGGAACGGGACACATCCCGTAAATTAAAGTCTTCCGCTCATCCGGTTTATTTCCACTTTCTCCCCGCAACTCCCCGTGTGATAACGTCCTTAGATTTTGCAGGAAAGGAGGTAATTTGCATCTAAAGAGAGAGGAATAACCCTTTATTGCCTTAAAAAAACATGACCTTTCCCTCTAGTCTGCTATTGAGGGTGTGGCCTCACTTTTCCATATACATTTTTCATCACCCTTCCTCTATGCCATCTCAAATTTAAATTTTAGAGGTTGTGACCCAACACCATCACTTTCTTTTCTCTGCATGCTTTTTATCAGCTTTGCTTGATGAAGAAACTTGTGGGCTTCAAAAGCTAGTGTGATAAATTCTGGACCATTGGATTGGGTCAGTAAAGCTGTCACCACCATATGAATTTTAGAAAATATTGTTGCTGGATGTCCACTATGAAGAGATAATAGTTTTGTGATTCCCCTGTGTCTATGATGGGGGTATCTACTTGTTGGCTGATCCCCATGATTATCTGTGTGTCTGTCCTAATACTACCCTTTGAGCAAACATGTTAAGTTTTTGTGAAGGGACACAGATATTAAATCTGTGTATTTAACCACTTCCCCAAAGTGCTAGAGGATGATGAGTGACTTCTTATTCAGCCTTGCTGACAAGATTATAGCTATATCAGCCTGTTCTGGTCTATTTTGTGATACAATATATATTGGTATTTAAAGTACCAAGGGATTCTTGTTCCTTTTGCGATGACAGCCTCACACTGCTAACTGAGGAACTTGTAACTCAGAATGGTGCACATTGTGGCAATCTTTGAAGTCTGATGCATCTCCAATTTGTTGAGAATGGAAAGCATTCAGGGTCTTGAAGGATTAGTTTCCTAGGATAGCACATCAAGATTGACTTGAATGTAATAATAGATTTAAGATCACCTTGCAGTGACATTGGCATGCATTTGTTCATGTAATCTCTCTATCCTTTTCTGGTACAGTAGAGCAACATTCAAGGCTTCCTCTTTCAATGCCAGTTCAGGTTTTAGGATTATACAAGTCTGATGGAGAGCTGATTCCCATCTGTGACCCATGTGTAAGAGTTCCCTGGACCTATGGTTGAGATACACAGCTTGGTGTTATCTCTTTTGCAGCAAGAGCTGCTTGAAAATCAAGGTGGGGATTATCATTTGGTCTCTCTCTGTGTGTGTTTTAACAAAACTTACATCTTGGAACATATTCCCAAAAGCACTTGAATTTTTCAAAGATTGAACTGTTTCCCTTAATAGGAATATAAATTAGGATTTTGCACTTAATATCTCTCCTGAGTTTAGAACACACACTCATACACACACATACTGCAAAAGAGAGATTTAGTGGAGAAAGAGAGAACTAGAGTGAATGCTATTCTAGTAAAAATGTAAATTATGGTCCAAGTTACAGACTACAATGAAATGTCCCATGAATGGGATATATCTTTGACTTCTCATTATCATGTAGAATATTAAGTTGCTTTGGAGAAGAAAAATAGCATGCTTGCATATAGGTGAGCAAACTCCACATCTTGTTACAGCTGCCAGGCTGACATGCGCAAAGCATACCAGTTCTGGAAAATAAAACCCCACCATTGGCACTGCATTAGCTCCAGCTTGTTAACCAATTAACATTTTGTCAATATGCCAAGAATAGCACTTGTTTTCCAAACGCTTCCATCCATTTTGCCCTGGCTGTCAGTCTTCATCATGAATGCACCTGCTTTAAACAAGTGGTGCCAAATTAGCATTAATAGGAGTTTATAGAGGGCAGAGATCATATTTATTAAATCAGTGTTATCCATTTGTCCATCTCCTGATTGCCAATTTACCCCATGTTGACTGATTTCACACTTCATAAAATTAGCCCCTAGGTGCCATTGGAGCATTTTTGCTGTTGTTCCTCCAATTGTCCTGGATAATGTTTTCATATATATATCAGCATCTGACCTATTGCCTGATCATCTATGCATACGTTTGCAGGTGAGAGACTACTCCATGGATACTCAAGAAGTGAAGGGCTTGTATTTGCTAATGCTCTCTTCCATTTGCAAGGATCCCAATAATGTCTACCTTTTCAGTTGTGATGGGTCTGCAGATGCCATATAAATATATTACACAGTCTTCTAGATTCATTCTCTTTTTTCAGTCTATCTCCCTGTTGGGATATGCAGACAGGTAGAATCTAGCATACATGCGTGCAGAGTTGATGCACGTAGGCAGGAATGCCCAGAAGATGGTCTTCTGTGAAGAAGCTTGCTCCAGATGGCACAGGGAAAATCCTCCCACACGCAGGTGCTGCTTGACACTCCCCTGCAGAGAAACTCTGCAAACCCTGCAGAAGAAACAGAAATTTGGAAATGCAAGAATCAGGAAAGATTCACTGGTGTAATTCTGTTATAATTATATTGTAATCAACGAAGAGTCGCTGCCGCACTGTGGAATTTGTAACTGATTTAATAACTTTTGGGGGGGGGAGGGAACTACATTTTATTTATTGATTTTTGTATTATTTTTAACCTCCCTGATGGGATTACCAAAGCGCTGTATATAAATAAATTTTATTATTATTATTATTATTATTATTATTATTATTATTATTATTAGGATGAGTGTCCAATTCTAAAATAAATTAGACTACTTGCTTTGTTTCAGAAATACATGTTACTGAAATTATACCCAGTGGTGTAATTTGGAGTGTTCTTGTCATGTGCCTTCAAGTGACCTTGCCACTGGGTTTTCTTGGTGAAATTTCTTCAGAGATGGTTTGCCACTGCCTTCCTCATAGGCCAAGTCTACA